CAAATAGCTCAGCAGATTAAAGCACCTACAAGCAGTCTTAGGGGCCAGGGGTTGGATCCACAGCAAGCCTGGGCACACTGAGACAGCATTTGAGATTGGGCCTGGTGGTGCATGCCTGTAATCCCAGCTCTTGGGAGGCTGCAAACAGGTGGGTCACTACGAGTCTAAGAAAGAAAGAGACAAGTAGTATGATTTTAGGCCTCCAGGAGGGTTAAAACCTTCTAATGAAATTTGAGATTCCCTGTGGATTGAGACAAAGAACTTTTCAGGGTGCCCCATGTTTATTTGATTGTCAAACAAAGGAACAGGATATTGAAGCAATCCCGAGAACTGAGCAGAACCTTGTGAGTCAATTCAAAGACTTCTTCAAGTGGCAAATTTTGACAGTTAAGAAAGAAAGCTGTTTTTTGGTTGACAGAGCAGGAGTAAAATGGTTACAGTCGTGGTTTCTATCTTGTAGAATGAAATCAGAGGCAGTTGTCCTCAGCTGTGACCTTATGTTGCCCACTGGGAAGTCACAGCATCACAGCCGGTAGAGGCCTCTGCTGGGACTTGTGGTTCATACGGGTTCACTGACAATGAATTCCCTGCTGATCTCCAATCAAGAGGCCCAGACCTGGGACAGACTCATACATAACTATTAATAGCCAACTGATTAATTTTAAATCCCACTCAGAGCTGCTTGGTAGTGGTTTCCATCAGGAAAGCCCATCAGAATTAAGGCACACTTCTCAACATAAACCCTTTTGCTAAGGAGAGCTTAGAGAGAAATGTTTCGTGTTCTAAAAGAAAAAAACCTGCAACCCACATCGACATAACTCACAAAACTATCTTTCAAAGTTAATGAAAAACTAAAGTACATCTTTGACAAAGAACAACTGAGGAAATCCATGGAAACAACAGCTCTCAAAAATATTCAAAAGGTTATTGTAGGAAGAGAAAAAGAGCACTACAATCCTGAGGACATGAATAGAAACAACCACTATGCAAATGTAGCAATTAAACAGAGGGAAATGACAGGGAATCAACAACAAGAAATAATAAGGGAAGAATAAGTGAATACATGTAAGTTATACATCATGGCAAACGATTTCAATTCAACAATCAAAAGAAAAAGAATGCCAGAATGGATCAAGAAACTAGATAAAATATGCTGCATATATGAAACACATTTAGCTTAAAAAGTAAAGTGTAGACTCAAAGGAGAGAAAATATTATTCCATGTGATAGGAACTAAGAAAAAAGCATGGATAGCTATTCTATTTGTAAATAAACTTCAAATGAAGACTGATTATATGAAAATTAGAAAAAAAAAAAAAAAGAGGGCCGCAACGAAAGCAAACATTTTGGCCCTAGCCTTCCAAGGTCAATTAAGACTCAGGACATATGAGATCTTATACTGTAATGCCATGTAACTCAGTAGGGTCCCAAATTTTATGATCAAGAAGATTATGGGGCCAAAGACAAAAGTAATCGATGATGTAGAGTGTGCCTAAGGAGAGTCACGTGGAGAGGAAGCATTCTCTCAGGCTTTCACAGAGCAAATTGGCCAAGCAATGGCTATGATTCATGGCTGACACTGTACCTCTACAATCTGAAGTACAGGATCTCAGGATAAATCCTGAGGGGATTTGACTGACTTTATCACATCCAAAAGCTGCAACACTTGTTGCATAGGTCTTGCTTTATCTTGGTCTTGCTTTAACCATCCAGCAGAAAAGTATAAAAACGAAGTATAAGAAGTAAAGTCATGTTGTTATGCTGAGCTGTAGGGGACTCAGGTCAACAATTTCTGATACTGCCAGTCAAGTGAAACACCCAATACTATTATGGATTATTGGACTCTTTTAGAATATTTTGCTGAATTCACACACCTATAGTCAAATGACAGAACTACACAATAAAGGGGATATATAAATAAAAAAAAAAACACTGATTAAATGATACAAAGAAAGTCACTACATAGTTGTCAAGGGAGCACTCCAAGAGAAAGAGAAAGAGATATTGATCACACATACATAGGCTCCAAATACTGGTACACCCAACTACATACAATAAATATTAAGGGACATGAAAAATAAAGTAAGAACAAAGTCAATTGTAGTGGGGGACCCCTATACCCCACTGTCATCAACAGAAAAAAGAGACAAAAAAAATCCTACATAAGAATGCCAGAATTGAACAAATCCTATGAACAAATGGACCTAGTGGATGTTTACGGAGTATTCCCAAAATATCAGCATATACATGCTTCTCAGTTGTGCGTGGGACATTATCCAAAATAGACCACCTGCAAGGTAATGAAAATGCTTAAGCAAATGCAAAGGAACTAGAATTAATCTATACATATCATCAGGCCATTATACAGTGAAATTTAAAATAAATGGCAATAGAAACCACATACTACATAAACACATGGCAATTAAATAACACCCTTCTGAACAACTATGAGGTCACAGATGAAATTAAAGAATAAATTAGACAGTTTCTAACTAAATGAAATGTCAGTACAATATTCTGGAGCTTACAGCTTATAATTAAAGCAGTTTTAGGACAGAAATTTATACTGGTCCTATCTCAAACCAGGAAAACAGAGCAAGATCAAATAAACAACCTAAAGATGAATTCAAACTTCTGGAATAAAAAGAGCAAGTTATGCCCAAAGCTCATAAGAGGGAGGAAGTTATAAACATCAGAGCAAAAATGAATGCAATGGAGACAAAGACAATTACACAAAGCTAAATGCAGGCTTTGTTCTTTGACAGACAGATGAAATGCACAAAATCTTACCAAAATAATTCAAAGAAAAGATTCAAAGAATCAGAAGACCATAAATACCTACTTTCAAAACTGTGTTCTAATAAGATGAAAAACACAGGATAATTGTGCAAATTCCTAGAAACATCTGAATTAGCGAAGCTCAATCAAGAATATACAGAAATTTTAAATAACTCAACATCAGTCAATGAAGTTAAAGATGTGATGACAAAAAATTATCAACAAAAGTCTCCCTGTGAGTTCTTATACTAGGGAGACTATGTGGTATTTGTATATGTGGGTCTGGTTTATTTCACTTATGAGTATATCTTCAAGTAGCAAAAAAAAAAAAATTAACAGGGGCTGTCCTGCTACAATGCTATATATTGTTAGATTTCTAAATTTCTGTGTAAAAATATGTAAATGCTTATTATTTTTGAATTTTTTTATCTTTTTAATCTTTTTTCTTCATATTTTGGAGGGACTCAAAATTTAACATATCTATACTTGATGGAAAATACCTGTTCCATGTTATGTCTAAGATGTTTGATATTCAGACCAATAGTTAAATTAAGCTCAACTGCCTATGTTATAGGGTAATAATATCATTAAGCTTCTCTTCTGGAGGGTTAACAACCTAAGTTTACATACCAAAAATTAAAGTAAAAGAAGGGCTACAAGGACAGCCAACATTTTGGCCCTAGTCTTTCAAGTTCAGTAAAGACTCAGGAAATAGGAAAACTTGTACTGTAACATCCTCTAACTCAGTTGTGTCCCAAATTTTTGGATCAAGGAGATTTTGGGGCCACAGAGGAAAGTGATCAATGATGTAGAGTGTGCCTATGGAGAGTAACATGGAAAGAAAACATACTCTCAAGCTTTCATAGAGAGCAAATTGTTCAAGCAATGGCCGTGACTAATCCACATGACTGACACTGACAAAGGATCTACAAACTGAGGTAGAGGATTTCAGGTTAAATCCTGAGGGGATTTGACTGACCTCATCAGATACAGAAGTTACATTTCTTGTTATATAGGTCTTGCTCTTTCTTGGTCTTAGCCATTCAGCACAAATGTATGAAAATGAAGTTGAAAAAAGTAAAGCCATATTAATATGATGAGCTATAAAATGCTCAAGTCAACAACTTCGGACATTGACAGTCTTATGGAAAACCCACTACTATTATGGACTATTGGACTATATTAGGATATTTTGCTGAATTCATACACCTGCAATCTTTAAATGACAATGAAATGCCCTTCTCTGACAAAACTGACCAAAAAAGGGGGATACAAATGAACGACCATTTTGTATCTGTTTACTCAAAATAGGATAGATATACAGCTCCATTCTTTTAATTCAATGACTAGAGAGGTTTGTTCTAATAGTGTTTGAGATAGGATATCAGGCCTGCATCTTGTACAATGAATTACCACTAAGAAAACAATATGCAATGTATTAATTATTCAAAATGTACTAATAATCGGTTGTGAAATTGTCTCATTGCTATTTTTTTCTCAATAAAAATATTTTAAAAATGAAAAAAAAGTCTCATGGCCTAAAGGATTCACTGCTCAATTTTACAAGAAATTTAGAAAAGTTCAAATGCAGCTATTCCTCAAACACTTTAATGAAATTGAAAGTGAAGCAATATACCCAAAGTTATTTTTACATGGAATTAGGTATTACCTGATTACCAATTATTACCCTCATAGCAAAATCAGAGGATACAGTCAAAAGAGACAATTACAGGTTATCCTCATTAATGATCAGAGACATAAAACCATCAACAAAATTCTGGTAAACAAAATGTAGTAAATCATCAAGAAGTTTCTTCACCATAACCAAGGAGAATTTATGCCAGGTATGCAAGTATGGATTAACATACGTAAATCAATACATGTAATACACCAATCTCTTTATACTTTTTTGTTTTTAACAGATTTATTTTGTTCGTATAAATGTTACACTTTCAAAACCAGTGAGAAAACACACTATTCATTTATTTGCTTACTATTTGGTATAACACATTAGAAACCTAATTTTTAGGAACAAACGAACATAATATAGCTTTCATGCATCTTTTGTTTTCTTTATTCTTGTCTTTTCCAATTAAACTAGCTTTTCATAAATTTTAAAATTTAGTTTTTGTGATTATATACATTTTGCATCTTCATTTCTGATTCTTGACACATTGGGTAAGCACATGTAAATAATTCATACATTTTCTATTTTCTTACAGATTCTACAAAGAAATTAAAGGATGTTCTTGAGGAATTCCATGGTAATGGTGTGCTTGCAAAGTATAATCCTGAAGGGGTAAAGTTTCTTTCTTCTTTATATAAGCTTGAAATATATTCTTGAGTAGGTAATTTATTCATGAAATGTTCCATAAAAATGTATATGTGTATTTATGTACACATATACATACATATATGTGTTTATATACATATATATGTACACATATATTTATATATCTCACATGCCATAAACCATTTGCCATCTACACAAAGAAAATAAAATTCACAAGAAATAGTAATTCTGGATGGTTTACTAACTGTCCATGTTTTACTACAAAATTTTCTAATGCAAACACTCCCACGGTGTTGTGTTTGGTAACTTGAATAAGTACACATAGTTGCAATACAGTATTGAGGTTCTTTATCTAGAAGTCAGAAAATAAAGTTATATAACACAGAAAATGTATCTGGGTCTTGCTCTATGACCTATCCATTTAATCCAAAAGTGTGTAAGAATGAGGGTTAAACCTTTTGTGGAATTGTTTCTTTCCATGAAGCAAGTTTTTATGATACACATAATTACTCTGTCATTTTAAGATGTTAGCGTATGCCAGAGAAGAGTAATTTCAGCCCCCAACTTATTTTTCACCTTTTTACTAGCAAACATTTGAGTTCCTAAAATTTTATAACATCTTTGTATATGCCCTCAACTACTCCTGGGTGCCATATACAAATAAGTGCCTTTCTTTTCCTAGTTGTTTTTTTTTTTAATTTATATATTTGGTGCAGGGTCTCATTGTGCAGCTCAGATACAAGTGGTCCGCCTGTTTCAGCCTCCCCAGCACTGGGATTACAAGTGCTCACCACCACGCCCTCTCTCTGTGGCCAGCTCAGCATGCTGGGGGACAGGGCCAGCATGGCAAGTGGTGCTTAGAATCTAACCCTGGTCCCTGTGCTTGCCTAAGCAGGCACTTAGTCCCCCTGCTCTATCTTGCCAGCCTCTAGTTATGTTTTAAAATAAGCTTTCATTGAATATTAACTATTAGAGAGATAATATATATTGGAAATAGTATATATTTTGAACATTTGATCATTATGGCTAATGCATTGGTGTCATCACCAGAGATATTTTGGTTGTAGGGGAATAAAAACAAATTGATCTCTGCAAAAGAATTTTCATCAAAGTGTCTCATCAAGATAGATTTCTCTATAGGCTGACAAACCAAGTTGTGGTGTGTTTTTGATAATTATTTTGTTTTTGTAAATCTGTAAAACTTCAGTTCTTTGTTATCTCTCAATATTCTTGTGGAGGAAAATAGAGAACTTAATGTTAGTTATTTCAGTCAAATCTATAAATTCAGAATTTATTTCATGCACATAATTTTAAATTTTCCTTCTATTTCTTGTAGGTAGTTGTTTTACACGTCATAATTTTTATTCTATACACATTTTGTTGCTATACATTTAAGAATTATGTAGGGGCTGGGGAGATGGCTCAGTAGAATAAGTGCTTCTCTGGCAAATGCAAGGGCCTGAGTTCAATCCCCAATTTCACCAAAAATGTATTATTTAATATTTACTTAAAAAATTAAATTGCTAGGAGCCAAGGAGATAGCTGAGTAGGACCTGAGTTCAATCCTCACTTCTGAAAAAAAAGTAAATAAATGGCTAAATTGCTTAGTATGGTGTTGATAAGGAAAATAGAGTCAATTTAAAAGTCATTCCTATTTTCCTACATAGTGAACAAGACCAGAAGTCTAGCCTGTGTGTCCCCCACATTTTATTTTCTAGATGCTGTACAGTGAGGGAAATAATGTTGATAGATGATCATTAGAAATGAAAATCTCAAAACCCAAGCAAAGAGAGTGGGAAAATGGGAGACCACTGGGCAGAAAAATCTAATTGATAATAGCCAAAAATATGCATTCTTATCTCACCTATACACTTGAATAAAACTTATGGGTTTTTTTTTTTCCTTTGAAGATAGATATTTGCTCTAAATTCATTTGGAACATAATGTTCTTGTTATTGTAGAAGTTCTCTAAGAACAATTTTTTATTTTGTGTCCCCAAGACTTAGCCTTACTGATACCTATTTTATGGTAATTTTATGACATGTTTTGATGATGTATTTTTAAATCAATCCCTAGTTTATGATGATTACCTATTCACTACTAATTTACATTGAAAGTTTTCAATTCCTAGGCTTACTATTACAAATATATATGGGTGTTATGTGTTTCAATAATATAATACTACTACTACATAAATGTACAGATATGTTGGAATGTGTTATCAAAATTATGCAGTTTACAAAAGACTAGATCTCAGGGCCTGAGAGATAGCTCAACGGACTAAACGCCAGCTTAGGCAAGCACAAGAACTGGAGTTTGATCCCCAGCACCAAATGCCAAAGTAGTTCCACCCACGGACGTACCGAGTGAGAACTGAGTCCGGGCATGGTGGTGCACACCTGTAATCTCAGCACTGGGGAGGCTAAGGCAGGGGGATCACTATGAGTACAAACCGTGTAGTGAGACCCTTACCAATTACATAAATTAAAACCAAAATTTTAATAGAATGCTAGATCTCATTATGACACAAAATCAGTAATTCTAAGTTAAAGATAAAACCATGCTGTGTCCCAATATTGTTAGGATTTTTTTTTCTTTAGGAGAAAATTTATAGTTTCTATAACTTTTTAAAAAGCAAGTGCATATTTCATTAAGGCAAGAGTAAATAATGAGAATATCCAGTATTGAAAATGAAAGTATTTATGATTTGAGGTTTCTTTTAATATATGACCTCATCCAGTGCATTAAAATTACTCTCATAGGATAAAAGAATCTCTGTCCATTCACAAGACACATTCATTCATTATCAACTGATCAAAAGACAGCTACTTTTTTTTTTTTTTCTGGTACTGGGGATTGAACTCAGGACTCTGTGCTTGCCAAGCAGGCACTTATTATTCTGAGCTATATCCCCAGCCCAAAACGGCTACTTATTGATACTCAGTTGTACCAAAAAATTATAAAAATTATTAATCCTATCATACACGAGAATAATTTACTCATTTTTATAATGTAAGTATGATTATTGTCATCCACACAAAATACTAAAAAAACAAACTGAATAGCCTGAAGTTGTACTAAAGTTGCTTAAATGATAGATGCATTATTTTGCTTGGAGTCCACTTTAGTGAATTTTAAATTTATATTTAAAAATTAATTCAAATATGTGAAATTTAATTCTAGATTAATAGAAAATAAGTAATACATATGGAGGAATCATTTGTTCTTAATTCCTACCTTCTAAAAATACTAAATAACTGTTAATTTGAAGATGTGAATAAGAAAAGTTGTAAACATTGGCTTTAAAGAATTTCTAAGAATTAAACAGCTTAAAAGACATGAGATTCCTAAACTAAAATTTCAAAACATCTAAATAAAGATGCTTATTTAAAGAAAACTAAAATGATTCCAAGATTAAACTTCTAGGTTCATAATAATTACCACAAATGAAACTGTCTAGTAGGCCAATACCTGTTACGCTTCCCTTCAGACCATACAATGAGAGGCGTCTGGGGAGATATTGGAAGAGGATGTGTAAGGGGCGATAGTTGCTTATGTAATGCGTGTGACATACTGCCCTGCCTACAAGTATTACTGGTGCATGCCTGACAAGGTAAATGGTTCCTATTAGTCTTCACCTAATCTTACGTGAACAGTACGATGGTAATCATCTCATCGCAGCTATGCTGTAGCACACTAGTCCTCCTCAAAGATTTTCAGTTAGCACAACACAGATAGATAACCTCATGAGAATAATAGAATTTGGTATATAAAAAAGAATCAGGTAGGCACTGCATGAAACTTTTTTGTATTCGGTTTTAGACTCAAGTCCAGATTTTTTCCATTGATTTCCTAAAACTTAAGGGAAAATGGCAAATGTATGGGAAGATATATAATCAGTAAAGGCATGGAAAAACATTTGCTGTCTTGTGCCAATAGAAGAAACTCTAGGAATTAAGAATAAATATTCATAATCTAGTATGCTTTTCTACACACGGCTGTATTTTTATTTTTCTCTCTAGAAGGCTTTATTATCTTGTATGTGTTATTCATCACATTTGTCTCATGTCAGTCGGAACTGTTGACTTATTATATGCAGAGTGTTCATGCCACTAATTCTCAAATTTTAATGTTATATCACAATCCCTTGGGGGCTTATTAAGACAAGATTGTTCCCTCTCTCCATCCCCCAGTTTCTGACTTGCCAGTTCCTTGAACGTGGGCTCAAGAATTTATATATTTATCCATTTCCTCAATAACTGCTGCTGCTTGAAAATCATACTTTGAGACCCTTGTACCTAGGGTATACTTTAAAATCGATCTGTAAACTTGAACATTTAGTGAAACTATCAGACATAAGTGATAAAAGTATAATTTACCTTACTTTAACACATGTATTTTTTTCTTTCCCTGCATGCACAGAAACAAGACATTCTTAACCAAGTAAGACATTTTCTTTTCTATTAAACTCTGCCTTTTCTTCCTTTACTCTGATATAAGCCATTATTTTCTCATTTATATCTCTAAGCTCTATTTCTTCATACAAGGTCACATAGTATGTTACGTAAGATAATTCAGAAATTTTTAACTGAGGTAAGGTACAACGAAAATTTTTTCAAGTCAATGTCTCAAATGGAGAAATTTGTATCATAATAGAATAAAAAATCATCCGGAGGGTGGCCTTTGGTATTGCAGACTCTGAAATTCAATTTTGTAATTTAGACCAGACATGTCAGACTCCGATAAATTAATTTCTTTAATAAAAGTCATAATTTATTAATTTACATTGAGAGATTTAAAATTGCATTTACATGCAATGATAAAGGATTTTTCATTTTGTTTTGTCTAGAATTTTGTTTGTGTGAAACCAACATAATTGAAAGCTATTGACGCTGCTCTCACAGGAAGAAGGGTGCCCATTCTGTTATTTCATCCACTTTTTTGCAGTAGTGTCTACTTTTTAAACCAAGTTTTTGAATAGTTTTACAGTGAGGTGCCTAGAATTA